TGATTCTGGGGATCCAGAGTAGGAATAATCAATATTTTCTGCTCCTGACTATTTTTTGATGGCATCCGTGTCTTCACGTTAATCTTTTTTGGTCACCAGCCACTTTTTCCAAAGTTATTAACCTCTTAGGATTGTCACTGGCCACATATTGCCATCGATACCATAGGGAAAAATTTCCATATAGATAATTTTAATTTTATCTCATAATTTGGCAGTATGTTTATTAGGCTTCTGTCACTTTAAGACCTGACACACAGATCCATTATACTGTTACACTTGCGTTTTCTCTCTCAACTGTTTACGGTCAGTCAAAACATAACTGACTGTGTTAATGTAAATACTCACCAAGACTGGCATTTTGACATTATTTTGTGCGTATTTGACACGATAAGTAGCGAAAATAACTCAATTTAGTGCTGAGAGGCGGCTTTCTGTACCGCACTTTGGGTGTGAGCACACAATCTGAGGGAATCAGTAAAATTTGAAATTCAAGCCCTGTAACACCAACACTATTCATCTGGAGCAAATGAAAGGAGTGAGTGAGTGAGTGAGTGAGTGAGTGAGTGAGTGGAGGCGGGTTTGTGTGTAGAGATGAGAGAGAGAGAAAGCGAAGCTGGTATCATGTCTCGATTCTGGAAGCATTTCAGATATTTCAGTATTAAAAAAATCTATATTTCTGAAAACATTGCAATTAGTTTATTATTTCAGATGCCTGTTTGAAAGACTACATTTGAAAATGTAAATATTATTTTTAAAATTAAACCCGAAAAAGTGGCTAGTAGGAGTGACTGCATTACATGGGTTGGTGGGTGTTAATGTCAAGCACATCAATAACATCGAGACATCAATTTGACAGACTATATACACACTCATCACCCTTAATTCCTACTAAGGAATGTATAAAGACTCACTCTGTTATACTTCAAAAGTTTTTGTTAAATACCCAAACCTAAAGGAGTACAGTACTGTAGTTCACTTTTAAAACTTTTGCTGATAATTTACTCACCCCCATGTCATCCAAGATGTCCATGTCTTTCTTTCTTCAGTCGAAAATGATGAAAATATTCCAGCATTTCTCTCCATATAATGGACTTCATTGGGAACCAAACTGATCAAGGTTCAAATGAGAGTTTCAAAGTGCTTTAAACGACACCAGATGATGAATGAGGGTCTTATCTAGGACCCTTCGAGTCATGACTTTGAAAGCCCTTTGAAGCTGCTCTGAAACTCTCATTTGGATTGAACATTTTGGTTCCCATTGAAGTCCATAATATGGAGAAAAATCCTGGAATGTTTTCATTAAAAACCTTAATTTTTTTTCGACTGAAGAAAGAAAGAAATGGACATCTTGGATGACATGGGGGTGAGTAAATTATCATCAAAAGTTTTTTTTTTTTTTTTTTTTTAAAGTGAACTGTGTTGAAAACAGGGTTTGGTGGAGAAGAAATGGACCTGATCAGTGTTTCTCGTTCTCAGGGCTATCCATGCAGCAGTGATAAAGAGTGCACGGTGGGAACTTACTGCCACAGTCCCCAGCACGCCCCGTCCCGCTGCCTCACCTGCCGCAGGAGAAAGAAGCGTTGCCATAGAGACAACATGTGCTGCCCTGGAAACCGCTGCAGCAACTGTACGTTCTTCTGTTGATTTCCCAGTCTCTTTATACTAACTTTAGGGGGAATTTACAATGGATTTCTTCTGTCATTCCTTAGATATCTGCATCCCCATCTCAGAGAGCTTGCACAAATCACCTATGGAGGAGCACAACACACTTCCTATCAAAGACAAAGGCTGGAGGAAGAACGGCAAAGCTCAAGCCAAGATCTCTCTCAAAGGTGAGGAACTGACAATGTCACAAATGGAGAAGCATGCTTTATTTTTTTCTGACAAACCTTCCAGTGATCCATCCAGTCTGGTGTGCTGTTCGTTTCAGACTGTGGGCGGTCTGTGGCCATCTGAGACTGAGAGTGTTTCATATTCATACTCACTTATGAACAATGTCTGCAATGAGTTGATTCACTGGATGTGGTTTCATGCATGTGTTGAGGGGGACGGCGGCCCACAACTACATGCAGCTCGTATATCTTGAAGATTTAACCACAGCGGGAGGCCTGTGTGGGAAGGATCACGATGCCGTTTCCTCACCTCTGTATTCTCGCCTCAGTAACACGGCGGCTCAGTCACGCTCTCAAACAGAAATTAAACCACACCAGATTTAGGCTGAGACTGAGCGGCACACTAAATGTTGTACCGACTGCCATTTAGAATAATTTATGGACTGAATATGGACTAAACAAAAGACGACGGCAACTTTCATTTCATGCCAACTTTAACCCTTTAACTGACTTCTCAACCAAACGGTTGAGCACATTTTGAGTCACTATATTTTATTGAGTGGAGTACCTAACTTAACTCAAACTGACTGAGCCATCTCTATCATCTGGTTGAGGTATATTATGCCAAGAAAATCCACTAGATTTCACAGTGTCAATAACAGCACTGGTCACAACACTTCTTCTAACATGGATGTCAGAAACAAATAAATCACCCCAGCCATCTGAACAGTTTTTGGTGAAATTTTGCAAGCTAAGCATATTTTTTGTACACATATTAACTCTACAAAATGATGTTACTTAGTGCTATGAAAAAAAAAACTTCAGTATATTTTTAATAATTTTTCAAGAACATGCTCAACTAAACGGTTGATTTTGGCACATAACAGTTAATTGTGTTAATAATGGCCATTACAATGCACTGTTAACTTGCTTTACAAAGTTTGCTTTGGAATAAAGACCTAAGTTTAGTCTTGTTTTAAAGAAAACAATGCTGATTATTGCTGAAGTAAAAGCACTTAAAGTATGAAAAAGTTATGGAAGTTTAAAATTTTCATTAAATCAAATATAATGTACTTTTATAGAAAATATATGTTTTACAAAATATTTACTCCTATAAAATCTAAGCCATATATCTAACCAAGTTGTGCTCCAAAGTTGAAGTTGATATCACAAAAATGTACGTTCTCATGAGATTTTGTTTAGGCGTAAAACCAGAACTGACATGAAGTCCATTGGATTTAAAATCAAAATCAAATCATATTTATTTCTAGAGCACATTTAAAAACAACACGAGTTGACCAAAGTGCTTTACAGACCCAACTGTACGCAACAATTAGACAAATACACATATAACTAAGAACAGTTAAAAGCAGCCGAGAAAAGATAGGTCTAACACTCGATGGAATCACAACATCTAATGTGTAAATTTAATTGTAATATATTTCTGTCCAAATATCACTTCTGTTACAAAATATGGAACCTTGAGACTCAGACCTTTCTGACAATGTGTTTGTCAAGACTAAAAAAGGTTTTGATCATAAATTATGATGGGCAATGAAAAAGTCTGGCAAAGTACTGTATGTGTATGAATTTCGGTACCATTTCTTACCATTAAGTGACATCTCAATCATTTGATAGAGGCCGATATTTTTAAAATTATGGGATGTGTTGAAAAGCGACATAAGAAGATAAGAAATGCAAACAAAACATTTTTCCATCACTTTTTTCTTGGTGCGGACTTCAAAGGGCATCTCTGTTTCTCTGAACAACCATTGGAAAATTGCTTTGCATTTGTTTGTAAATAGATCTATATCAGTTGCAGTGACGTATTTGGTTGCACTTTGTTTTCTGATTTCACTTGAACGTTGCGGAGAATATTTGCATGGGCAACAGAAAGGTCAAGTGTGATTAAGATTCGCCTTGGACTGGGTTGAAGTGAAAAACAGTAGCTGTAGTTGCCAACTTTACCGTTAAACCGTGGTTTTACAGACTTAATATCTCACGTGCGCGATCATTCGTGAATATCATCTCAAGCCTCCTCCGTGTGTTCAACGTCTGATTCGGATGAACTATCCATTTGAGCTGATTTTCTCAGAACACCACACAGTGGTCGGTTTGAGGTGATATTCACCAATGATCGCACGTGTGAGCTCGACAATCGACTACTCTGGACTTCGAACGAAAACAGGGAGCAAATAGAGGTATGTGAGCTGGCTGAATTAACTTCATTTTTATTCATATCTTTCACATCTACTGCAGTCAGATTGACTGTGGTGTACTGTGCACTCGTAATGACATATCAAGGATGTTAAGAGGCTAAAAGCAGGTTTAGAACATGCCCCATTGAAGTCAACAGGGTGCGAATAATAAAAAGACGATAACACGGTGTAGGTAACACTGATTTTCGACGTTTTTGTCTGTACTGACAGCACTCCAAATGTACAAAAAATGAGCTCAATGTTAAAATTGACCGGAGTTCTCCACGGGTCGGTGTACCATCTCAAGGGTTTTGGAAAAATATTTTAAAGGTTGAAAAAAACGACATAGTGCTTCTTTAAGTTCTGGTTGTAATTTGGGCTACTGTTTTTCGAGTACTAATCGGACATACTACCCTGTTTTTGCATACTATATCCATGACGTTATCACACTTAGCATTCTGCGCTTGAGTTTGAGCTCCAGAAATGGCACTGACGTCTCCCTTCACCTGCAGGTCACGAGGGCGACCCTTGCCTGCGCTCGTCCGACTGCTCGGAGGGCTACTGCTGCGCTCGCCACTTCTGGACCAAAATCTGCAAGCCTGTGCTGCGGCAGGGCGAAGTTTGCACCAAGCAGCGCAAGAAAGGCACCCACAGCCTGGAGATCTTCCAGCGCTGTGACTGCGCCAAAGGACTCGCCTGCAAGGTATGGAAAGACGCCACCTCCTTCTCCAGGTCCAGGCTGCACGTGTGCCAGAGGATCTGAGACGGGAGGCTCCTGGAAAACAAGCCGCACCTTGGGGGCCCCTGCGTCCCTCTGGGGGAGGAGCGGGCGAGGGCTCCTTTCTCCAGGACTTACTCAGCTGTGATAAAGGGAGAGATACAGATGAATGTGTGCCAGAACAGGGTGGGAACGAGGCGATATGGTGGACGCTCAGACGTTGCCGTAACCCCGTGCTTCTTTTCAAGATTATTTGCTGGAGGTTTATTGATCTACAAGCCATATTTATCACTGATGTGTTTCGGTATGCCTGTGCTGTGTCATTTTAGTATCATTTTCAATGCTCTGATTTGGTTTTTGTCACTAAATATTTCATGCACATATGAGTTTTTTTTCCCACAGCATAACCACTAAAATATAACTAGGTTTTTTTTGGTTGCATTATTGCAGACTTCTCGATTGCTAATAACCGTGTAGAGAGCAATTTTAATTTTTAGTTGTCTCTGTTTCTAAATTTCAGACATCTGCCCTTCTGAAAGTGCACTTTGAGTTTTTCTCGTCTAAAAAATGATCTGAAATGTGTACCCAAACAGAAGAACGATAGTATGTTGTCAAGGTAGCCACACACTAGTAATGCATTAGCCTGATAAATATGATAATTAGTTCAGATTTACTCAATAGATAGCATTTTTATTCTGTCAGAAATACTAGGGAAGATGTTTACAGTTTTGAGTGCTGTACAGTGAATGTGCAGATGCTTTTATGATTATGGCATCATGAATCATAGTCCGTACTTTTGGTTTGTAAAATTCCACACCACATTTTAGCTAGAATAAAAATAATAATTAAAATCTAATAAGCTCTTATATTGTAAATAAAATGCAAAATTGTCAATGTATTTAAGAAGCAGTTGTATATCATGTATATATTGGTAAAAAGGAACAGATGGGGCAAATAAAGTAGTGTAAAGAGACATTAAACACTTTACTTTCAACTTACTGTCTGTCATAGCATGGTGTGAGATCATTTCCTCAAGCTCTGTTTTACACCGCAGATATGAAAATCCCCACGCAGAACTATTTCTATTAAATTATTTTCAAAAATACGTTTCTTCACAGAGCTCATGTTGTGTATTTGTTTAATGTCTGATTTCCTGGGTTAGTCCTTAACTTTGTTCCTGATGTTATGTCTCATTGTCTCATTTACAGTGATTTAAACAGATTAAAGAATGTATTTTGTATTACAAGCATATGTCTGCTCTCGTATTTTCAGCTCTGAAACGAAATATTTCTGATGTGAATGATATCGGTGTTCTCTAATACAGCCTGAGGTGAGAAACTTGAAGACACAATTGAATTTGTAAAATTGATATTAAACAGCAAAGACATATGCCTTGAAAAAAACAAATTCATGGTTTGTGTTTAGAAACAAATAATATAAGATAGCCTACAGTTGTTATCAGTTTTCATTGGTGATCTCAAATATGAAATTTAATCGTAAGCTTGGTGAACAGCTTTGGAGAATTTGAATTTGATATTTCCACATTCAAAAAGACAGGAGCTGAACTTGCATGGCTGCCCGTTTTAAAGATGGCCGCCGAGTAAAACGCATAGACAGTAAAAGAAATGGACAGAGCAACCCCATTGATTTCTACGGAGAAGACTGAAGCCCGATTTTTGTACTTCCTGTCTGATGTCTGAGCGACTGCGCGGGCTCAAACTGAGCGTGACGACAGTCTGACAGTTGTAAATCTTCTAGTAGCTGTGCCAAAAAGTTGTTGAAATATTTTGTCCCGTTGCTTTTATGGCTTCTCCCATAGACAGTAAAAGGCTTCTCCCTCGACTTTATGCCTCCATGTCCCCCGATTGCCTCATAGACAGTAAAATATTGCCTGCAAGCTTCTCCTCCTGTCTATACGGTAATGTCTCTATTGTGCGACAGAAAGTTGTGTAGTGATGGCGCAATCGTTAGCCTATTTTTCACAAAAACGGCATCAACAGGGCCATAACGTAAGATACAAAGTAATGGAGCGTTTTATACATTGTCGTGTTTCTTTAGAAATAAATAATGGATAAATAAAGTCTTTGGACGCCTCAGATGTAAAGTTATTCGCTGTCAAAGTGATGCCAAAATGAAGTCAAAATGGAGTCAATGGGATGCTAACAGCAGGTGAACATTTTCTCATTATTTACTCACCCTCATGTCGATCCAAACCCATGAGACACAAATGTTGTCATCTTCACAAATGAAACTCTTTTTGAGTATGAGCCAGTTCTGTACTGTCCATTGACAGCTACGCAACCACTTCAATGCTTCAAAAAGTTCAAAAAGATCAGTAATCCATACACTGTAAAAAATATTGTTGGTGTAACTTAAAAATGAAGTAACCTGGTTGCTTTAAAATTTTAAGTTAATTGAGATGGAAAAATTTAGTTAAAACAAAGAAGGAGATTGATTTCATCACAAGAGACTCAAAATATTATGTTATCTGAACCACATTAATAATTTAAGTTGATTTGACAAAAGAAAAAAAATGTTGTGATTACAAATCGTGAAAATATTTTTTACAATGTATGAATCAGTCCAAATTTTCGAAAGAGACACGATCACTTTACATGATGAACAGATTTAATTTAGGCTTTATTCACTTTTAATCATTGATCAGCGAACATAAACCGAAGCATAAAACGTGCTGTGCAAGACAAGAATGAACCTCATTGGTTCTTGCACGTCAAGTTAGCATGCATAGCTTCCGTTTAACACAACTGGTGTGCGATAGGATGAATGTTTACGTGAATAAAAGCCTAAATTCAACCTTTTCTTCATTTAAAGTGACCGTGTCCGTGTCTCTTCAGAACTTGGACTAAACCACTGAATCCATATTTTTGAAGCCTCAAAGCTGTCAATTGGGCTATATGCACGCATAAGTTCCGCATTTGACGCAAGGATGCTCTTCAGTTTCCGGTTGGGGAGATTTAAAGAGTAGGAAAACCGAGGAAAATGGGATTATGGCAGAGTCTTTCAAATGTACTGTCCTCCCATCTTTGAAACGAATCTTTAATACGTTTCAATGTAATTTTATATTTATGTTTATTTAATATAATTTAAAAAAAGAAGCATAAACACAATGAGGGGTGTCTATTTTCTGTGACTAACATTTCTTTAGTATAACCATAGAGTATAAAATCCATTATAAATTCTCGGTATAGCATTGGATTCTACAATTGGCGAAGTAATCCAGGATCCTTAGACCTTTGAGGGACAGAGATGTCTCAGAGTTTATCAAAAAGATCTTGTGTTCCTAAGATGAACGAAAGTCTTACGGGTTTGGAACGAGTAATTAATGGCAGAATTAATAGACAGAAAAAGGGTGAGTAAATGGTGACTGAATTTTACATTTTTTGTGAACCAACCCTCTGAGGTATCATAAGGTAAATGTCAGATTGCTAGTTACATTTTGTAATTACTCTATTTTACCGTCTCATAAGCCATTTACGAAGCTGTCAGCGTTCTGTGATTAAGTCTCAGTGGTTTTATACGTTTTGTATTTCTATGACGTTATTTGTGATGACATTTATTAGCTAATACACTTAAGGCCCTTTATGTTGAAAATAAGCAGCTTACATGCATTTTCCCTTTCTTCTCAACGGCCGTTTCATGATTAGCTTAACGGCCATAAGTCTAACATGTCAATAAAACGTGAAGACTGGGTCCTGTGTTTCTGGCAGACAGGTTACGAGTAGACGAAAGAGTATAAAACGTCTAAGGCCATTAACATTACAAACCACGAACAAAGCCATGTAATGCTCGCCTTATAAGACGTGATGTTGACTAAAAATGCATGCGCAATGTTTGGTTTGTTAATTATTCACACTTCATCAGAGCTGTAAATCACAGGCTTTATAATGTAAACCTTGTGGCGTAAATCATGCTATTGTATGTATGAAGGTTCATTTCATAACATAAATAAAGGTTAAATGGGAGTATTTTTGTCAGTCATTTATTTTAGCCAGAAGTCTTACCCAGTCTTTCCCTCCCAAAATGTTCAGTAACACCTTCTTTGCATTAGAATCCACATGTCGAGGGTCATCGCTCTAATTCAAAGGGCCTGGGAATTTCTTGGATATTGTGATGAATATGATAAAAACTTGGAAGAAATGCCTTCAGACATCTAATAGAGTTGCATGTGGCAGCTCTACAAACATTGCGCATTACTTCTTCCACCAGCTTTCATTGGAAGTGTTGAAATAACAGGGACTTTCCACATTCATTCCTTAAAACACCTTGTGAGTGCAGCACATAAAACATGCTTTTCTTTTAGATTTTCTATTTTAAACGGATCAAATGTTGTCCTAAAAAACAATTGGTAATAGTGATCTAGTGCTAGAGAAAATCATTCTGAGCGGTTCATTTTTATGGACCATTAAATGACCTTTAGCGTCTGATGTTGCAGCCCATAATAAATCATTTTCTACATTTTTTTTTGGACAGTCTAGAGGCACAACCTGTAATAATTATGAAATGCTAGCTTTTCAGCTCATGGTCAACCAAGTCATGCTGTCCAGGCGTTCGTATTATATTTCACATGTGTTTTGAATTCTAAATAATGACTCGTGTCTTAGGCATTGGGTGGGATTTTGGGATCTATAGGTAAGCATTGTTCTTTGCTGCGTCTATCTATTGGCTCGGATTCATAAAAAGGTAGAAATTCTGAGAAAAGTCCCTTGATGGTCATTGAACCTCAAATACGAGGTTGAAATATAACTCATATGAAATATAACTGATGAGAATGAAAGTTCTTAACAGTCGGCCACCCACTCGCACAGAGCAGCAGCCATAATCTGCTAATTGGTTCATAGTGATGACTGCGGCCCAAAGCGGCTCTCTCCTTCGAGACAAAATTGTGTCATCGTAATCCAACACAGTTGTTAGCGTTGGCCCTCCGAGTGACTGTGCATGTGCCAACAGGCTTCAGTGTCGTGTTGACGGATGGAGGGCCCTGGTGGTGTGCCTGTGGCACACTTTCCTGGACATCAGATGTGGAATAATGAAAGTCAAGGCCACACAGACATTGGGGTGGCAGATGAGACCCCACCTAATACTGGGAAAATTCACTTTCTTTGTGTCAGCTCAGCTGTGATTTAAAAACAAAAACAAACAAAAAACAAACTTTTTTCCCTTTTGGCGCTTTGGGAGATTTTGCAAGCTTGGTTCGAATGTACATCACTTGCATGAGAGCTGCAGCTCAATGTGTGCTAGATTTAAGTTTTTGCTCATAAACTCATTTTTTTACACTGACTTAACATCTGTGGCTGAAATCACAAAGATATAAAAGTTATATTCACGGAAAAATTCAAGATGTATTTTGTATTTTGACAGACCATTTTTTTTTAAAGTATGCTTACAAAATGCGCAACACATTACGACCAAAATATTTGTTTAGTCCCCAAACATCCAGTATGGGGCAGTCCTGTGGGCGAAAATGCCTTGTTGATGCTAGAGGTCAGAGGAGAATGGGCCGACTGATTCAAGCTGATAGAAGAGCAACTTTGACTGAAATAACCACTCGTTACAACCGAGGTATGCAGCAAAGCATTTGTGAAGCCACAACACGCACAACCTTGAGGCGAATGGGCTACAACAGCAGAAGACCCCACCGGGCGGGTACCACTCATCTCCACTACAAATAGGAAAAAGAGGCTACAATTTGCAAGAGCTCACCAAAATTGGACAGTTGAAGACTGGAAAAATGTTGCCTGCTCGATTTCTGTTGAGACATTCAGATGGTAGAGTCAGAATTTGGCGTAAACAGAATGAGAACATGGATCCATCATGCCTTGTTACCACTGTGCAGGCTGGTGGTGGTGGTGTAATGGTGTGGGGAATGTTTTCTTGGCACATTTTAGGCCCATTAGTGCCAATTGGGCATCGTTTAAATGCCATGGCCTACCTGAGCATTGTTTTTGACCATGTCCATCCCTTAATGGCCACCATGTACCCGGCTACTTCCAGCAGGATAATGCACCATGTCACAAAGCTCAAATCATTTCAAATTGGTTTCTTGAACATGACAATGAGTTCACTGTACTAAAATGGCCCCCACAGTCACCAGATCTCAACCCAATAGAGCATCTTTGGGATGTGGTGGAACGGGAGCTTCGTGCCCTGGATGAGCATCCCACAAATCTCCCACCACTCCCATATGGGCCATCATTTCTAAAATGAATGATTGAATCAATGCCA